AGTATGAAATAATCTTTATAGAAATTTCCAGTGAATAATGAAGAGGAAACCCAGACAAGAAACTCAAAGAAAAACACAATTCATGTGACCTCAACATTTGGAGGTAGAAAAGGAGGAATAAGTTTAAGCTGTCTGAAGATGAAGATGTCTGACATCTATGAAAATGTCTATGAGGGTGTCAGAGAAAAGCATTTTGTATTCTGGACTAGCACTTAGTAATCACTAGCATTTATATGCCACTTTAATGCTTGGAAAGTGCTTTACATATGTTTTTTACAATATATGTAAATGTCAATATTTATAAATGTCAATATATGTAAATATCAATACTCTCTCATTTATTTAACAGTCAATGATTGTTATTTACAACAGAGTTCAAGCAATCAGGAGCCCTTCAGTCTGAGGGCCTACAGCCAGCTTTGGCTTTTGGCTTTTGAGATGCACAGTGCCACTGGATACTTACAACAACCCTGTGAGATGGTTATCATGATTCTCCCCATTTAAGATTAGGTAACCGGCTCAGAGCTGCAGAGCCCATTTCCCCTCAATGGTTCATTGATTTCTTTGGGGATGTGTATATCATCGTGTTATGAAAACCCTAAATGGGGTCACAAAGCATTAGACACGACTGAAATGACTAAACAACAATGACTAGATTCCATAAGATAACTGACAATGTCTCCTGTGATATCATAGTTAAGTGAATTTAGAACTGGTTGAACGTCCATACTCCATGAATCACTATTAATGTATCAATGTCAACGGGAAGTAGCCTCTAATAGAGCACCCTAAGGACTTGTCCTTAGCCAGGAGCTAGCTATTCAAAAGTGTTATGTGCATTTTGAATAAAGGCAATTTAGCAAATTTATAGATAACATGAAGCTTGGAGAAAAAGGTGACATTTGGGAATGACATAATAAGAATCCAAAAGGATTTTGATAGGTTACAATGATAACAAGATGAAATTTTATAGTTACATGTAAATACCAATCTATGTCTATATATACATATATATGTATGTATGTATGTATGTATGTATGTATGTATTTGTTATCTCTCCTGATAGTGTCTTAAGCAGAATTGTTCTATCCTTTGACTTTGTAGCCCCAGTTACTTAGTAACTACTAGCTACTAAGCTACTAGTAACTAGTAATTACTAAGCTACTAGTAACTTAGTAGCCCCAGCTACTAAGAGCCTAGCTTAGCAACTTGAATATGATAGGTGCTTAATAAATGCTAGTTGGTTGATTGCTTGATATTGATTCAGTTTCTACTTACAAGTGAGAAGATCTTATTCACGTGTTTGGGTATATGCATTCTATACAGGCCTTATGATTCTCTCATTCATACTACATGCCACTAATATTTGCTACATTCCCATGAAGGGATTAGAAATTGTAGAAATTGGGGCAGCTAGGTGGCACAGTGGACAAAGCACCCACTCTGGAGACAGGAGGACCTGAGTTCAAATCAGTACTCCAACATTTGACACTTGCTACTTTTGTGACCTTGGACAAGTCATTTAACCCTGATTGCCTCACAAACAACAACAAGAAACTGTAGTAATTAAAGTGGAAAAAAAATAATTGAGTGTAGGATTGTGGAAACGAAGAAATCTAGAGTATGACACAAAGAATATGAAGCTAGATGTGAATAAGTTTCTTAGAATAATAAATTCTAAAGAAGAAAGTAGTTATTCTTGAATAAAAAGTCTTTCAAAAATACAAATTTCAAAGAAGAAAAATATTTTAAAATTAAGCAACTATATGTAAAACATAAAAGAAACAGGAATGAAAAGTATCAATATATTTTTAAGTTACTGAAATAATACTTTGTTAATGTTCCCACAGTATATTGTATTTCTCTGGCAGATATTCCATAGCTCCATCCATCTGGGGAAGGAGATAGCAAGCAGTAAGTTTCTGTAAAGTCTTATTATTTCCTACAGTTGGCATGTAACTTACTTAAAGCATATATTTTCATATATGCCAGAGTGAATGGTACCTTCCTCTCCTCTCCTTCCTTCTCTCCTCCCCCCTCTCCTTTAAAATTAAAGGCTTGACATAAGCAAGGGGAAAAAAAACCTTTGTAAATAATATAAATTTAGGGGTTGAAAAAGACCCCCAAAAGGAGTATGGCCAGTGCCATTCCTCTAATAAGTAATTGTTTAAAAAAAAACCTGACTTGCTGGTCCCCAGGAAAGGTAACCATTGATCATCAATTCCATCAATGAAAGGAGTTATACCGAATTTGAGTTGATATCTTTCATGGCTGTTATTTCCTCTTGGCAAGGGATTCATGCTTAATTTATCTTTAACCACTGAAGGATATCACTAACGCATCATTTTTCCTTGACTGCTACTAAGTTACTAATGTCATCTCTGTTGCAGGGTACTCTGAGAAAGAGAATTCATACACCCATGAGTATAAACATTGGCCCATGTACCTGAAACCTAAGAGACATAAAACAGTGGTACTTAAATGAAATTTAACATTCTACCTCCCCTTTTCCACTTATTTATTTATTTATTTATTTTAAAGTAGTTATGTTCTGCCTATTAGGGGTTCTTATTGTGGGGACTGTTAGCTTTAAATATATATACACACACACATATACATATACATACATATACATATACATATATATACATATTCATATACACATATATGCATATATACATATACATATACATATATATACACATGTACATATATACATATACATATGTGTGCATATATATATATATATACATGTGTGTGTGTGTGTGTGTGTGTATGTGTGTGTGTATAATCTTAGCACTAGCCCTGGAGTCAGGAAGACCCTAGTTCAAATTCAGCCTCAGACACTTGACACTAGTTGTAAGACCCTAGGTAAGTCACTTAACTCCAATTGCCTCACCAAATGTATATATACATACATACATATATATATATATATATATATGTATATATACACATATATGTATGTATGTATGTATTATATTTCAATATAATTGATTCCTTTGTAATCTTATATATTTTATTTTATATATTTAAAAACATTCACTATATGACTTTGCCAGTCTGCCAAGGAGGCCCATTACACACACACACACACACACACACACACACACACACACATTCAAAATTCTTACAAATCTCTTCTTGTGGTTCAGCATTGCCAGTTCTGACCCTATGTTGTTAATATGGCATGAGGTTGCATTAGTATATACATCAGGAGACCAAGGCCCAGTACTGACTCTGTCTCTTACTGGCCATATGACCTTGAGAAATTCACTTAACAACTCTGAGGCTCTGTTTCCTCATCTGTAAAATGAGGTAACAACAACAATAACACCAACAACAATAGCAAATTGCAAGATTGTGTGGATTTGCTTTTGGAAACAGGGGTTTATGATCCCATGTCAGCACCCAGTCACTGCCATCAGGGATCACAGGAGGGTTTCTTTTCCTTGGGACCCTTGTGCAATGATCAGGGTAGATTATGCAGAGAAAAAGTAGAAGCTGTGAAATATCACTTGCAGACTATAAAAATTTACCACCTACTAATAAATGTCTTTCAGGTCCAAAGCTTTTAGGCCCCTTTGTGTACTGAGAAGCAACAAAACCTCATACTGGCCTCAAATACACTAGACAACTCAACAAACTAATTGCACTGGAACTAAATCATTATCAGAGAATGAAGTGTTGTCTACATTTGCAAAAAACAATGGTATCAGACTCAGAATTCCTGCTGGCCACATGTTGACTTAGAAAACTACAGATTAACATTATTTATGTTATATTGTATGTCTATATTTTAATCTGATACAAGCCCCACTCAGGAATTTTACCACCTGGAGTCTGACACCTCTGGCCTATACTTTGTAAAAATGATTTATTAAAACTTAAGAAAAAATGTTTCAGTAGATGTTTCCATAACAAATACTCATATTCTCTAAGCTACATAGAAAGAAAAGCCTTCAAAATATAGAGACCTACCAGCGGAAACCAGAACTAAGTGGAATAGGATGAGAGCTATATCATCCCTTTTATCTAGGCTGCTACTAGAATTGTACCAAAGGATGCTTTCCAGAAGCCTATAGATTATAAGCTTATGTCCTGATGCTTTTGTTTTCCAACTACAAAAAACACATAATAGTAGGACAGCAACTCGTCTCAAGATCATTTCTATCTGAACTTTTATCATCGATAAAGATGAGAAGAATGAGATTATGTTAATACCAACAACAATGATGAGGTCATGATATGCAACATTTCTGAATATGCCCCCTTTAAGGTGTACAAAGTGCTTCACTGTAGCATCTTTGTCAGATATGGAATGCAAATTTTATAGTAATATGTCTACCAGCTAATAAGGTTGCTGCAAACATCAAATGAGAACATTAGGGTTGGTTTTTTTTTCCCCTAATCATAAAGCACTACAGAAATATAAGTTCCTATGGTCAGTGCTGGTTTTGTTATCCCAATTATTATTCATCCTGAAAGGGAGGGGAGTATATTTTTACACTAGAAAGAGTAATTTATGGGGTAAATTACATTATGAATGGACCAAGAATGAGGCACCAAAGGAGAGGGTGGGGAGAACCAAACACACACTTAGATTAAGCCTGTTTTGAGGGCTTCAGAGACTGGTATGCAGAGAATGGAACATTTCCAAAAGAGGCATTGTGCCCAAGTGTTAGGAAGTGGACAAGGCTGAGAGGGAACAGTATTTCCCACATTAGGCCAAGTAAGGATTTATTAGGGATCCTCAGATGCCTTAAGGACACAGTTCACTCCTTGAGGTCTGAGGTAAGTGAAGTTGATCTTCCTCCCTTCTTTCCTCTTTACTCCTTGTCACCACCACCACCCCCTCACTTTTATTAAGTTGGTCATCTGTCACCCTTGTAAGTGATCATTTGGCCTTGGTAACTTTACCTGACACAATCACAAGTCTTGGGTGCATTTCCCAATGCAGGTAAAAGTTGTATTTTGAATTTCGCATGTTGTTAACTGACCTGAGAGCAGCTTGTTTCGACCCTATGCATCCCATGGGAAAAGTCATCAGTGAATGTAATTGCATCTGAATTTATCACATCATGGAATGAGGGCCAACCTGGGGAGAAAGGTACAAGAACACAAAGAGTGAGAATGAGATAAATGGCTTTCAGTTACAAATGTAATTTTAAAGACATACTACACATAGGAAAGGCAGCTAAGTGGTACAGTAGATAAAACACAGGGCCAAGAGTCAGGCAGGCTCATCTTCATGAGTTCAAATCTGGCCTCAGACACTTATTAGCTGTGTGACCCTGGGCAGTTTTTTCATCCATAAAATGAGCTGGAGAAGGAAATGGCAAACCACTCCCCAGTATCTTTACCAAGAAAACCCCAAATGAGGTCGCGAAGAATCAGACACAACTGAAAAAAAACATAGTACAGAAATCCTTAATATATGACTCACACTTAACTTGAAGGGGGGAAAAAAGAAAGCATAACATAGCTAACAAAAGATGATAGATAAATGACAGAAGATAAGGGATGAGATAAAATAGATGATGGTAGAGGGAGAGATGGGTGATAGATTGACAGAGATGATAACAGATAATAGATAAATGATAGATCAACAGATAAAACATAATAGATGATAGATAAAAGATGTATAAATAGATAGTTTGGCTACAAAGTGATGAAATTTTGTGGCTATTTTCATTTTCAAAGTGCTGAATGTGATGCTCAGAACTGGTAGATTCAAAACCCTCATAAATAAACTCATATCTTCTTGAAGTATTGAAATAAAATTTTTTCTTATGTCTATTACCTTTTTAAGTTATTTATTGACATCAATGTGGTATTTTGCTACAATGCACTAGTACCCAAGCGATGACTACAATTTCAAACATGTTGAAATAATGAAAAAGTAGGTAACAGGGTTAAGTCAAAGAGACTCTGATCAAATCTAACCTTGAATGCACCTCACCCTTAATGAAGGTGTTTTCCAATGATCTGCACAAGAGACTCTATAAAGAATCACCAGTCCCATTCCCTGTGTTCTATCTCAAAGGGTAATTAATGTTATACTATAGTTTGTGTTTTCTTCCATTAAATGCATGCACACATTATTTTACACACATACCTATACAGAGAGGTAGGGGAGAATAAAACAATATACATGAAAATAATTTACTATCATCAAGTTGGAAACATCCCAAAGATGAGTCAACACTGGGGAAACAATTAGCACAATTAATCCTATAAGCATATAAATGACAAAGATTACAAAAACCACATAGTTATTTCAAAAGGTACATAACCTTTAACAAAATTCTGCCTTTAACAAAACATGAAACTCACTTATTTTAAAACTTCTAAAAATATAGGCATAGAAGAGACTTTCTTTAACCTACCAAGACACATAAAAGATTTAGATAAATACTTTTTTACAGAAACAGGGACAGAAACAATTAAAAAAATATTCACAGCTCAGCTCATGTTTGGACTGAATCACTATAATAAAAGTGACATTACTACCTAAAATAACTTATAGATTTAGTGCTATGCCAATGGAATAGTTTCACAGAACTAGAAAAAAAATAGTAATTAATTTGATTTCAATGCATGAAAGGTCCAGAATCCCAAGGGAAATAATGAGAAATATTAATGAAGGGGCTTAGCATTCCTAGATCTTAAGCTATGTTATAGTAGAGTAGTCATCAAAACTATCTGCTACTGGTTAAGAGGAAAGAAGATAAATGGAACAGACAATATAAGCAAGAAATAAGCAGTTGAAAGCATTAGTCTGATGTTTTATAGAGCCAAGGACATCAATTGTTAGGTAAAGGACTCTATTTTTTACAAGAATTACTTAGAAAACTGTAAAGCAGTTTGGCAGAAACTAAGTTTGGACTAACATCTTACACAATATACCACCATGAGCTCAAAATTAACCTAACCAGATGAAACCTGAAGTTCCTCACTACTCTGAGTGAAAGATGGCTTGAGTAGCCAAATTCTTTCAAGGCAGACCCTTGTACTCTTCCATTTTGGGATTCCCAGCACCCCAAATCACAAATGGATAGAAATAAGTTTTCAAAAGAAGATGGTCCGCTAGTGTTTCATTTTGTTCTGATGCCAAGCTTGAACCACCAGACCAGCCTGAATTAGAGCTACCCCACAACAGGGAGAAATGTATATCAAGGCTGAAAAGACAGAATGGGGCTAGGTTGTGAAGGGATATAAAAATTAAACAATTTTATCCTAGAGATAATAGGGAGCCACTGAAATTTATTGAGTAAGGGGTTGTGACTTGATAAGAACTGTACTCAAGGCATGAAAGATGGGTTAGATAGGGTGAAAGTTGGAAAGGGAGGCCAATTTTGGAATTCTTTTAAATGGTCTAGCTAAGAAGTGGAAGGCATGAAATAAGATGCTTACTGTGTGGTTAGAAAAAAAGGAGTCAAATGCAAAAGATATTAGGAGATAGAAATGGTAATATTTTGCAATGGACTAACTACGTGGGTTGAGGGAAGTAAGGGAGAAGGTAAAGAAAGGAGTATAATGCCAACATTACAAACTTAGAGAGTGGAGGAGTAGAGATACCTCTGACAAAAATACGGAAGTTTGGAAGAGAAATTGGTTTTAGGGGAAAGATAATTAGTTCAGCTTGCACATGTTGAGTTTGAGATGTCTCCAGAGTGTCATAAAGGATTAGGTCAAGTGAGATGGGATGGAAGTCCTCAAATGGTTTCAGTGTGTACTATTTAAGCATTGATGCTTGAAAAGTGAAATTTGTTTGTTTACCTTGGCACCATCTAAACACTGGGGGGGACTCTGAGAAAAAGAAGCATTATGGGGATTAACATTTCAAAACTAATATGAAACGGACAATGTACCTTTCGAGCTGGGGAGGAAATTCATTCAGTAAACATTCAATATACTGCCTAAGGCTTACAGATGGGAAGGTCTAAAAGAAAACTAGTGAGCAGCATTAAAAACTCTGCAGCTCTTGGGTTATTATTCATCTTTTAAAAAAAGACTCACATGACTTCCTTTTAAGATGGTTATGTCTTAGCTGTGTCCAATTCCCCTGACAAATATCCTGATAAGATTTAAAAGGGTACCAAATTAAACAAAGACCAAGAAAACTAAAGGAAAACACCACTAAGCTCCTTTGCTCAGTCCAGGACTACCCAAGGTGTCCAAAAAACCTTTGGGTGTTTGAAGCACAGATGCACCTTTGAAGCCATGGACAATATTAATTTTAAAAAGCCTGAAGCCAACAGGATCTTAACCAAAATTTGGCAAGGGTCAAAAGCAGTTTCTGATAGATTACTTCTCCAGAAGATTGACAGGACTCTGCCCCCAGATAGTCTGCACTTACAATGGGGTGCTCCAAGAGGCTCGAAGTCACTTTGGCTTCAAAATCCTGAAAGGGCCATTGGATGAAACAAAGCCAGTTGCCAGTAGGAGACTGCTCAAGGAAATGGAGAAGTGGCTTGTCCAGACAGCCTATAGCAGGGAACCTGAGTTTCCTTAATATAAAATGGTGATACTTCTCAAAGTTGTTGTAAGGATCAAATGAGTTAATATTTGTCAAGCACTTAGCAGAGTGATTGACATATACTAGGTGCTACATAAATGCTTATTCCCTTCTCTTTCCCTATATGAATGTAACTAAATGGTATTGGGCCATAATAAATAGCAAAAGAGCTGAATTCAGAGAAAGCTGGAAAGAGTTGTACAGCCTGATACAGAGTAAATGATTGGAACCAGAACAATTTCTACAGTGAAGGATTTGAGAACCACGGTAGATAAGAGTGACCAATCACATCTTCAGAAAACTGATAAAGAATGCTTCCCACCTCTTGGCAGAGAGCTGTCTAGCAGGGGCGCAGAATGAGGTAAGCATCTTCAGATATGGCCAGTGTGTGACTCTGTTCTGCTTGACCATTTGTATTTGTCATAAGAGAATGTTTTTGTTGGCAGGAAAGATGGGTGGGATGAGGGAGCAGGTGAATAAAAGCATCAGTGAAACATTAAAACAATACACAGAAGAGAGCACGAGGAAATTCAGCAGAAGCCACATAAGTAGGACAGTTTTGTAACTATTGTATTATATTTAATAGACACAAACCACAACTAATATTCATTCATTGTTTCATGCACAATTCTCTTTTTCTGTTCTCTGTATCGAAATTCTCATATCTGTTGGTGTTGGTTAAACTCACAATAATAGTGAAAACACAATTTTAAAAAGAAAGAGAAGCACATTTAACCCCTCAGTAAGATAAACAAAAGGCAGGGCGGGACTTCCTTTTAGCAGTCCTTAAAAAGGGAATATCCTTACAAACCTCCCTGGACAGCTCAGATGAATTCATTTTCTTTCATTCATTTCTGAAATAATTATTAAGTACCTACTACACATAAAACCAAGGTGAGTCACTATTGACAATCAAACTAAGGAAGGCCTTCATCTACAATAAATGGCTGAAAATACCCAGTGATGACAGTACTTTGAACAAGGAATTCCCCCCATCATGTGAAAGTATTTAAAGGAGGAACTCTTCACTGCTGTAAAAATCCTCAAAGGAAACCCTGCCCCCACTCCTAATAACAAGGAAATTGCTTCAAAGGCTGATATGCAGAGACTGGAGCAATCTGTGTCTTGTTGAGAAAATTATCTTGAGCAAAAGGGTTGGGGGGGATGTGTTTATGTCAGTTTTGACATTAAAGAAAGATCATCCATCCTCCTCCTTTTCGCTTTTTGCTTTTGCTTTTGGTCTTCCCATCTAACAAAATATTATTTGTTTTGGATGCAGTCCACATTCTTTTAAAAGGAAAGTCATGTGAAAACCTGCATAAACAGGACTGGTGTGCCCCTCCCCCAATATACTCTTTTGTTTCTCTTTGATGGGGCTAGATTTGGGCCTATTATCTTATTTCCAAGCACTGTTCTTTTCAAGTAGTCACCCATTATTCTCAAGAATCCAGACGCTACTTGCAAACATAAATAAATGAATTTCTTCTCCTTGATGAATTTACATAATATATATATATATATATATGCATATATATATACACACACATATATATACATATATACACATATATACATAT